CAGATGATACCAAGTTATGGGGCAAAGTTAACACACCAGATACAGCCGACATGGACAGGTTGTATCAATGGGCGGAACGAAATAGGATGCAGTTCAACAAAGATAAATGTAAGGTACTCCACCTAGGAAGGAGGAATCCCCAGCACACCTATAGGTTGGGGGATGACCTTCTCAGCAGCTCAGAGGCTGAGAGAGATCTTGGAGTCATAGTTGACTCCAAGGTGAACATGAGCCAGCAGTGAAACAAGGCCATCAACAAAGCCAATTGCACTTTCTTGTGTATTAGCAGATGCATGACCAACAGATCAAGGGAGGTGATGCTCCCTTTCTGTGTGGCATTGGTCAGGCTGCAGTTGGAGTACTGTGTCCAGTTCTGTGCACCGTACTTCAAGAGGGACACGGAGAATCTAGAGAGGGTTCAGAGGAGGGCCACTTGCATGCTTAGTGACCTCCATGAAAGACCCTACGAGGGGAGTTTGAGAGAGCTGGATCTCTTCAGCCTTCACAAGAGATGGCTGAGGGGAGACCTTCTAGCCGCCTTCAAGTTTATCAAGGGAGGACAGCAGGGAATTGGTGATGTGCTACTTACCAGAGTGCCCCAGGGAGTAACTAGGAACAATGGGGGCAAACTAGTGGAGAGTAGATTTAGGTTAGACATTAGGAAGAAATTTTTTACAGTAAGGGTGGCCAGAATCTGGAATGGGCTTCCAAGAGAGGTGGTATTATCACCTAACTTGGAGGTCTTCAAGAGGAGGCTTGATAGTCACCTGGCTGGTGTCATCTGACCTCAGTCCTCTTTTCTGCCAGGGGAAGGGGGTCGGACACGATGATCCATTGTGGTCCCTTCCAGCTCTACAATCTATGAATCTATGAGTTAACCCATTCAGCACTTCTAATACTGTTCTACTGCTGGTGGTTTGGGACTAAGTGTGTACTGAACTATTTCTGGTATTTCTGTACTGTGCTACCTTGTGGACGTACCCAAAAAGCACGTTTTATTTAAAAGGATGTCACTGAAGTAGTAAAGACCATACCTCTTTCCCAGAAGTTTTTTATTACTGTCATCTAAATCCTTGCAAAAGGCAAGACTTTCTGAGGCTGTTCCCTGCTATTGGACCCAACTGCATAGTTAGTATAGAGTTAGACAAGCTTTTGAATGTAAGACATTCTTCAGGACAAAAGCCTGTATAACTATCCCAACTATGCATTTGGTTCAATAAAAGATATCACCCTAAGAAATCCTTGCCTTGCACAATTCCTGGACCATCACAGCTGCAGCATCACTGTAACACCATCCAAATCCTTGAAATTTACTAAATAAAAGATCTTGAGTATACTCTGAAGCCTAAAATTAAAGAACCTGCTACTTCTGCAGAGAAACTCAGACCCACTTTGTGTATAGATGTACACTCTGTGCTTGTATAATCTATTCCTGTAGCCACAGGGAATATATGAATTAGAAGTAATTTTGACATAAAGAATAAACTGGCATAGACAAAGCTGACACATTGCGATGTGCAAAGAGCCACTGTATTTCTGTAACAAATACAAATCCTATTTTTTAAGAATTGAATGAGTCGGTCAAGATAGGTATTAGACAAATGCAAATGCGTGATAATCTTAAAAATAAGAGTTGGCAGTTGAAACTTTTATCCTGCCTGAGCTGAGACATAGAGTAGGTATGTGGCGTGGTTATACAACAAACTATTTATACAAGTACCCAGCTTATGCATGCAACCGTGACAATTACGTATTCAAATTTAAGGGCATGTTTGTATGTATCAGGCCATTAGTTATTAAAATAGTTCCTTAAATTATGTGCTGTTTTTGTTGGTCATGTAAGCAATCTGAAAATCTAATCAAGCTTAAAGTAAAGAAATCGCAGAACAAATCAGATACAATAATGTATGTACAATTTTTTTTCAGTCCTCACTTGGTATCACTTTAGCATCAAAATAACACAGGTGTTTCATTTTTTCCCCCCCTTTCTCTGTCTCATACTTATTCAAGGTTTTCTTTTCCCCCTTGTAGGAATTGTGGTGCTTGGATTAAATAGACCTCATGCCAAGAATGCACTTAATAAAAATCTTTTAAAAATGGTAAGTGGAAAAAACTAACTGCTTCTAATGTGAAGGTAAAACATTTGAATTAAGTGTTTGAAAAGTATTTGGTTTTCCCCTCCTCCTTTTCTCTGTAGATGTCAAAAGCTGTGGATTCTTTGAAATCTGATAAGAAAGTACGAACTGTTATATTCCGGAGTGAAGTCCCTGGGATATTCTGTGCTGGTATGCAAACTTAATTTTATTATGAAGTTAGAAATCCATAGTCTTGTAGTACGGTAAGAATGGCCAAGATTCAAAGGAAGCACTGTATCATTTGTTCATGTTCATCTCAGTAGCAAGTAAAACTTATGTGACTTTTTTTCTTTTCCCCCTTTAATAAGAAAATAGCGTCGTCTTTCTGGTTGTAAATGGTTTAATCAGATTCAATGCATTCCACCTTTAATGGTGAAAAACTACATTTGGTTGAAGTTTCAACAACTTAACAATATTCAAGTCACACATGCTTATTTTCACAGTTTTAAAGAAACCACTGATTTGTTTGAAATTATTGGCTAACCACCTGGAATCAGCCTGTTGAAATGCTAAGCTAGCTTTTGATGCTTGTAACCACTCCTGCAAGTGCCAAGAGAGTATTTTCATTTTATTTAGTTACAAAATTAAACTAGATGTACAAATCAATTCATTGTGTCTATCCAATTTAGGGTAGTGATTGATCTATTCAGATTAGATAAACCAATTTGGAAAGCATTTTTCCTTCTTCCTCTTCCTCTTCCCCCCCCATACTCTGAGTAAAATTGATATGTGAGAGAGTAAAAATCAGTAGATCTGACAACTTAAAAAAGATGACCAGAAGCAATTAGTTTAGTTTGCTACCTAAAAATATTGTCTCTTCTTTACCCATACAATTTTAAATGCAAAACCTTTTTTGACGCATTCTATATCTAGTATGCCAAGTATTTTTTTAAACTAATGAAAAGAATATTTGAAAACGTGGCTTTTGTTTATTTTTAACTGAATGCCATTTTCCATCAAAATGTGGGTTGACACAGATCAAAAGAAAAAAAATCATTATCTAGTAAATAAGAAATGCATCAATTATCACTTTTTAACATAAAATAGAAAATATGTCTGTGTACATGTATAGTGCAGAAAGTAATATACATAAAAGTGGTTCTGTTCAGTTTCAAATCATAATGTCTTAATGGTTACCAACCACAGATAAATCAACCTTTTGATATAGGAAAATAACTAAAAAGTACAAATGCAAAGCAAGTGTAGAGCTGAGCTGGTGGTTTTAAATCACTTTTGTGGAGTGTAAATGGTAAACAGAAGAGGATGCCCTCTTTGTTTTCAGTTTGGAGTTGTGAAACCTGTTATAGTAACATATGAAACTGTAAAATATGTTGGTATAAAAACAATTGATTTTTTTTCAACTTCCTGTTCCACATTTTTAAATACATGTGCATAACTATTGACGAATGGGGAATTCATAGGATCATAGTGCATACAAACGCATCATGAGTTATAGCTGTACCTATGGAAGCCTTTTGATGAATTTTGTTACCAAACAATATTTTTCAGAATTTTTTATGACTGATTTGGTAGCTGAGGTATAGGAAACTTGAGTGCATGACTATCAGCACTCATTCAGAGGAAAAGAGGAACTTAGGCTAAGTATAGACATTAAAAAAGCCTGAGGTGGAATTGATCTAAGTTATGCGGTTTTCTGTAAGCAGTATAGTTTAGATGGGTAGTGAACAGAACGTACTCTTGCTCATTGAGGGTATGGGGGTGGGAGGCAAATCTTAAACAGGGTTCTGTCATTTTAAAAGCAGTCTGTGTGTGCTAAACTTCTGTTACGGGTATAGACTGGCTTTGTGCGCTGACCTTCTGTTCTGTTACGGCTATAGATCGGTTTCTGATCGCTTATACTAGTAAAAGTGTATTGTTTGTACCTGGCCTTGGGTAGGTTATTGAATTGACACATTTGGGCTCCAATGGTAGTTGGTTCATTTAATTTAATACCCTTTGCTGGTTAGTTTCTCAAAGCTGTGATTGGCTGCAAAGAGTGTTATTGCTTCTCCATGATTGAAAAGTAGGAATTGTTGGTTTATGCTGCAGATTGCAGCATGCTATAGAGCTACCTAATGTAGCTTTAAATACGCTTGCTCAGGTAGGTGGAAGAGTCAGGTAGCATCACCTCTTAAGGTGGTTGATACTTTACTCTTGTAGGATTCTGTTTTTATATGCTTGTAACTTTGGCAAACTGGAATGGTCCTTTGTTTTTCTATATGCCTCTCTGCCCCAATTAAAATTTTATTTTTTGAAAACTTCAGCCAAAATAGTTCAGTTGTGTCCAAGATAAGGCTGGGAGAGAAAAAGTTTAAGACACAAAATAAAATTATCCTTTCATACATAGTTCAAAAGAAAAGCAAAACGTTGGTGACCTCTTTGGAAAATTATAATTTTCCAATGCTTGAAAGTTGGGATTTGACAGTTAACAGAGGAGAGGAAGGCCTTTATGCTGGGGCTCGCTCTGTCGTTTTCCGACCTCCATGAAATGTATACAGATTTGGTTAAGTTATTTTGGCTTCTGGAAAAAAAAAAAAAAAAGCATTTGAAATATACGTAGTAAAGATTTATCAAGATGGGGAATATTCCCCAAATATTCCCTCCATATTGGGCATATGTCAAGTCAGTATTTAGCAGAGCATTCCTTATAATTGCAGCTCTGGCCTGTGCGGTGTCCAGCAGCAGTCATCTGGATTATCCCGTGTTCCTGGTGACCTCTTCCGTTGGGTCCTGGCAGCATGGAGGATGAAACTACATGATTCGAGCACAAAAGGGACCAGAGCTGATCTGACCTGATGGTGGGTTGGTGTGGGGGGATGATTGGACTTACAGAAGGGCCACCAAACAGAGAATGGAACTAGGTGTTGGGGCAGGTGAAAACTGGGACTGTTGGGTAAGAAAACTGGAGGTGTGGACAAACGTATCATTGAGCTGTTTTAAAAGATAAGAGGGAGCTAACTGTTATGTCTTGTTTTGGTGTGATACGAGTTAGTTAAATCACCCTAACTTTGAGTCTTGAATGACAATTGAAATAGGAGCTGTTTAGCTACACTTGTATTGCTACAGAATCATTTAGCTGTAATGTTTGCATTGTAGCAGTTTGTAGTATCCTTTGATACTGCTACAATTTTTACATCAGTTTGTGGTCTGGATTTGGGCTGGAGTGGATACTGGGGACTGGGAGTGACTGGGATGGTAAGTTCTTGGGGGAGAGACTATGAGTTGCTGGGATGAGAGCTTGAGGAAGGGAGACCAGAATGCGTAACCAGAACTGCGATAGGAACATAGGACTGAAAGTGGCCTCCTGGGCCACTTATATTTGTTCCATGTATTTGCCCAAGAGTTTCCCAGAATTGCCACTTGTGATTGTTGTACACTATGCTAAGCAAAAAACTAGAAATGCTGAGAACACAGGGCTGCTCAGGGCTCTTGCTGTGCACAGCACTTTGTCCCCCTGCCGTGCAGGCAGCGTGAGCCCCTGCTACCACTGCCACATGAACAGCCAAGTTCTGTCCTCCTTCCAGCCACGTACGCTGTGAGTTCACTGGGCCCCCTAACTTCCTGCTGTCCTGACCTGGAGACCTAGGGGAATAATTCTTTCCTGACCTCAAATTTGTCTTTGTGGCCATGGGTCTCTTCCCTCTTTAAGTGCAGATAGGAGAATTGTCACACCCAAGTCAAAAAGCAACTCTTAGTTGTGGCCAGTGCCCCAGTGCTTCAAAGGAGTGTGACACCGTCAATACACTCAACATCAGCAGTATTTACATAGAGAAAATATTTCTTCCTGCATCTTAGTAGCAACTAGCCCAACACCTGCATCACTGGATTACCAAATAACTCCTTTGCAATGTGGCAGATATCTGTGGAACCCTATGTGGAGATTGTAAATACTTGATTCCATATGTTACATGGACTGATTGTTAAGCCAATAGCTCTCTATCATACCGTTAACTTATGAAAGTTGTTTTTCAAGTGAGTCAGATTCTTAGTTTTCATTACTTTACTCAGAAGGGTTTCCAGGCTATAAAACTTAACTCCTCTGGGCATCTTCTAATTTTCAATCTAAATTTGTTCATAACCAGTCTTGCCTTTGGATTTCATGCTGGTGTTTCTTTAGCCTGAGCTCTTCTCTCTTCCAAATATTTTACCCTGTGAATAAACTTGTAAAAAGTACTACTGTCCTCTCTTAATCTTTGGCTTTGTTAAGCTAAACAAACCATTCTTGTTTAATCTTTCATAACCAAAAGTTTCCATTCCCTGTACCATTTTAATGAGCCGCCTTTGTGTTTGTTACAGTTTAACACAGGGCAGTCCATCTTAGTGGCCAGGCGTCATATGCCACATGGGCTGCACTGCATGGCCTCCCCTGCCACTGTGCATCTCCAGCATCCTGGGTGTCTCTCCCCTGCCCCACTTCTGCTTCCCTGCCAAGTCCACCAGCTATGAGATCCACAGGTTGTGTGATGCCCCATCCCACCCCCAGGGATGAGTGCAGGCAGTGGAAGCTGGAGGAGGAGAAATGGGGGTCCTGGAGACTGGCAGCGGCAAGAGGAGAGTGATAGAGGAAGCAGACCCTGGGCTTGGGATCCTGGGAGGTGGTGCTGTAGTTTAACCTCTTGGGGCGCGTCCACATATGCAAGCATGTGCGCTTGCAGCAGCTCAAATAGAAGCGGTGCAAATTTGAGCCAGGGCTTTTTGCTTCAGCGCACGTGCTCGGACATGCACTTTGTTATGGAGCAAATTGTTCCACTTGGGGCAAAATAACCCTGCCTGGCTCCTCCTGGATCTTCAGCCAGGGGGAGCTAGAGTCTGGGGCCAGCACCTGTGCTGTCCCCAGCAGTATAAAAAGCTGCCCTGTCCTGGCCCCAGCAGTATAAAAAGCTGCCCTGGCAAGTAGCTCAGGGCTACTAGCTCTCAGGAGCTTCTGGGGCCTAGTCAATTGGTACCTGGGGACACTACCCCTTGTGTCAACTGGACTGTTGAAGCAGCCCTGAGAGTTCCCTGCACCCTCTACCTACTGCAGCAGTCTGGCAGTGGGGGCTGCTGCCTGGCTGTGACCTGCTGTGCACCTGCCAGACTTGGATGGGGACTGCAGTGGTGGCCTGCTTTGAATTGTCAAAGCATGTCCTCCTGGCCCCATTTGGCCAGGA